GGAAATTTCGTTGAAACCTGGTCTCCCTCAGGCGTTTCAGGATGAGAACGTAGCTGGTTATAATGATTGCATAAGGAATAATGAATCCTGCCACTGTCTCAGTGGTGTACTGAAGCCTCACCTGCATGAGAGGATATAAAGCCATTTCCTTAGAGATTAAATACCTAAGTCATGTCAATGTGGTCTTTGATCTGAAAAGGGCCATTCTGCAAAATAAATCATTTTACTTTATGTAGTTTTAGAATATTTTGATTCTAATATTTTTGCCACCTTACTTAAGGAGGACTTTTACTTGTAAAGAAGGAATGTTTTACAGAAGAGCATTACTACATTTATGAAGGATCAATGCAAAAATGATTTTCAGACTTTTGTGCAGTGCCACTACCCATGCATCAGTATTTACAGTGTGTGGGCTCAAGGGCTTAAAAAACATGCAGTCTGGTGTAATTTTAGTTATTTTAACTACATTTTGAACACTAGTTAAGCTGCAGCTCCCAAGGCCTTAAACACAGTAACAAAGCTTTTTTCTCTCTCTCTCTTTCTTTCTTCACCATTTCAGCACTCTACCACGAAATAAACTGATATGAATTAAGAAAGCTCATATCAGCTTGTGCAGATGTTTAAGTTATTAATGCATCTTTATTTCAAAACAAAACAAAAAAGCCTCAATTTCAGCTAGTTGTTCTGGACCTTTTACTCAATATATGTTATCATGTTCAGTAGCTTACCCACTATTTCTCAGGCTCTCAAATGTACAGATGATTTTTGAAGGCATTTTATGGATGACAATAAATATAGTTATCAAACTAATCAGATCAGTGGCAAAAAGATAGCTAACACAAGTGTACTTACATGTTCAGACAGTGTGTGATTGGGTGCACACACAAGTTTTGTTTTGTTTTGAGCAGTAACAGCTCGAAACACCAACGAGGGAATGGAAATGACCATCACGAACATCCACGTGCCTAGGATCACCCTCCTCACAACCTTCCTGGTGATCAGGTGATACAGTGTGTGTGGAAAGACTATGGCCAACAGCCTGTTCACGCTCATCAGGGTTATCAGAAAGATTGACGCATACATGTTGGAGTTGCACAGGTAGAACACAATTTTGCACATGGTGTTACCAAAGACCCACGACTGCATGACCAGGTACATGATGAAAAAGATGGTGAGAGCCATGAGGAACCCATCAGCACATGCCAAGTTGAGGATGAGGAGGGTGGTGACTGAGCGTTGTCGGCAGCGGGCCAGGATGCTCCAGACAATGAAGAGATTTCCAGGGACACCCAGGAGGAAGACCAAGCTGAGGATGAGGGCACCAATGGCTGTAAAATAGTTATTGCTCACAGCGCTATCTTCTGCCGGTTCAGTAGGAATTGGATTTGTCAGAGGTGGGGGACTCGTGTTACTCATTGTAGAAGAATTTTTGACCCTGAAAGTGGGAAAAAAACATTAGAACCTCAAACACAAACTCAGTCAACAGTTTAGTAAACAAAACTAATGACGTCCAAAACACTAAAGTAGCACTTTGATAAATGCTAACTTCATGTTTACAGTTTTCAGCATTGAACTGTCAGGTTAGCAGATTGCCACTACAGTATTATTTATTTATTCTTTCATTCATTTATAATTTTTACCCTTTCATGCATGACTTATGACAACCTCAATGTGGATTTTTTTAAAGTAGTTTTATTCATCTTTAGGCATGAAAAAAATGTATAAATACTTAGAATAAATATTTAAGAAAAAAAATCCATATTAAGGTAGTCATAAGTCATGCATGACAGGGTTAAATAACAATAATTACAGTGAAACGAGTCATACCATCATTTACCATCATTTACCATCAGCTCTGTACAGTTGGATTTCAGACACTTCCTAAAACCACTACCTCTTTTGTCTCTGTGTTAAGCAAATTAGATATAGTTGTTTACTTTAATATGTCTGGTAGATGAATATTGAAACTCTAAAATTTTATCAAACAAATGCACATACGTATTGTATCTCCAACCAGTGATATACTTAGATATTATAAAACATAATTTATAATATAGTTATATATAAAAACAACATCTCATAATTATGTGACTGTATTTTTTCTAGTTGTGAGGTCTGCTAATGTGTAATTTCGGTAATTGGTAAAATGAAACATGAGGTGAAAAATATGAACAAGTGGTTTGAATGGGCATATGATCGAGAGCTCCACACTGACACATAAGTTATAATTAAAAGTGGTATTTCCATTGAATCATCCCTCTGCATTAAAAAAAGAAATTACCTGAAAAGATACAGAAACAGATAGAAAGGTATGTAAGAGGCAAAAAGTGACAGAAATTACTGAAAACAGAGTTCTTTGACAATTTGGTTCTTTCAATAAAAAAAACAAAAACCCATAATAACCAGAAGTCATATACATATACGGAAGATTCAAAAAATGACTAATACATTTTTAAAGAGGGACATGTGCTACCCTGACACAGCCTCTAAAATATTTGTATCCTAGACTACAGCCAACGATTCAGCCTCAGAGGCAGCGTGCTAAAACACGTTGAACATTGGCAGCACTGCGTCAAAGAACATTGTTTCAACATAGTCTTTGATTCAACTTGATTTTTTTTCTTTTTCTTTTTCTCACCTCATCTTTTCGCATAGAAAACTGAAGTGCAGACGTCACAGACATTGTCTGAGTCAGTTTTAGACACTGTAGTAAAAAGCATCTGTACACTGACCGCAAAGAAAAAATAAGTGGTGTGATTGTCTTTATCTCATTCAATTTCAAGCATTTCTTTGGGTAAAAAAACCCCTCAAAAATGTTGGTTAAAAACTGGGAATCATAAAAGAACTGCAAAGAATGGCAATAGCTTTATATGGAAGGGCTCCATAACATGCAGAAGGTTTGTAAACCATTTGGTATGCATTAAATTAAACTTTGAAATTAACCCATGTATCAAAAATATCAAAAGGAGGTCTAAGAGAAAATATGCTAAATGTTCATTTATGATATTACTCACCTTTTTATGGTTTGTTATCGCTCTGTGATGTGTTCCTGAAGTCTGAAGGTTTTCTTTTGAGCTCAGACCATAAAAACCGAACTGAACCCTTTCCTGCCTCGCAGGCTAAAACATGCTGTCAGTGAGGGGAGGGATGCCGAGAGGCATGCCCTTCCTTAAAAGTCCCGCTTTTCCGTTTTCTTTCTAAAGCTTTGTATTCATGACCATGTATGAGTGTCGTGTAGAATTTTTCTGTATCTGTGTATCTATGCTAAAACAGAATATGAACTCTGTTATTTTTATATGCATTCTTTAAAAACGGATGTCCCAGCATGATGTACCAGAATGGATTTTTCTGTATCCGTAGGCACTTTTAACTCTAAGCTAAGTGTTGTGCAATGAAAAGCACCCGGGGGGTTAGATGATTCAAAAGACTTTCCTGTGTCATGTATGCTGGGCACACAAGCGCAAACACGCATTTAGAGATCACACACACAACAGCAAAACCTACTTGTTCATACAAGGCTCTGTCACTGACGAAGATGCTACTCTTCACAATATAAAACAAAATGAAACAAGACAAAACGAAACAAAGAAATGTGTTAAAAAGTTTTTTAATAATATTCCAACAGCCGTAAAAAAAATATAGATTTTTAAAAAAATTAAAACACAGAAACTTTCGGTACTTTTACATTACAGTAAATCAAAACTTAAAGGAATGTCACTTTACATTTACATAAAATCTTGTGAATTTTTAAAGACTTTTTTTCTTCAATCTCAAAAATATGTACCAGGAGCCTGCTGGAAGTGTTATTCTCTTTTTCACTTTTGGCTGGGATTTATCTTGAATCTGATGAATTAGATGAATTACAAAAAAAAACAAACAAACAACCATATGAAAGAGTAATCAATAACTTAGCTTTGATTCCACTGCAATATACCTTTCCCCCTAAGCACCTGGTGTGCATTTATTGTCAGCATCTGCCCCTGTACTTTGCCTTGCCCTCCCTCCCTCCTCCCCCATTTAATAAACAAATCAATGTAAAATTTGCACATTGAGCACCATCAGGCGAACATCATTATGTTAACAGATGGCATAAATCACAGATATTTTAAAATAAGAATAAAATGAAATAACAGAAATACATATGATTCAAATTTTTCAGCGCATTGTCTATTTAAATGCAAAAAATAGAAAATTCCCAGTCCAATTATGGGCTGAAGAAATATAGCAGCAATGAAAGCTGGCCTTGACATAATTGATAAAACTGCTTTGGACCACATTTAAAAATTTTGAAAGTCAGCTGTATCTCAAAATGTCTAAAAATTTCAAGTTACTCCAAAGTTTGAGACAATAAGACAAATTTTTTAAAATTTAATTTGAAATATGTGCTAATAATTTATATTTTTGAGTTTGCGCCACCTGGCATTTTTTAAAAAAAATTTAACTTTATTCTATTTATACTCTTAGCTTTACTCCTGTATTGTGTTGAGATCCTCACTCGATCTCTCCGATCCTTTTGTTACTCAGCTGGAAAAAATAAACACTATTGAAGGTCACCTTCTTTTGCTGTACCGTCATTCAAAGGGCCACAGGCCTTTGCTTTACAGCCCTTCAAAGGGCCCTATGCTTCTGTTCTACAGCCATGTAAAGGGCTGCACACGCCGTGAAGCAGTACAGTGTGCAGTGTTCAATTTACCCTACAAAATAGATTTCTTCATTTATCATGTAGAAAAACTGAGATGTACAGATGAAATTGTGATTCTTTTTTAATATCAAAATATCTCAGGTTTTAAATGTGTAATTAAACTGACAGGAGGGTGATACTGACCGGTTATGCTCCAAGCCAGAAGTTGTGATTTGGTGCTACATACATGAACTGAACTGAACTGAACTGAACTGAACTGAACTGAAATGCTCTAGCCCACTTAACATCACAGTAAGATGAATTAGATGAATTACATTAAATCATGTACCAACTGTCAACAAAACATTAGCAACACGTTTTCAGACAGTACGCAACATTTAGCAAAAGCCCAAAGTCAGCCTGTGGATCCCACAGAGGCATTTCCCTCTGGACAAGCAAGGCAAGTGCTTGAGCAGGCAAGCTCCATGTTTTAAGTACATAGGTTCATTAAATTGCTTTTAATCATTAGTCTAATTTTTGTAGTGCTGTGTTGTTGCAGAAACTGTTACAGTTTTTTTTAAAACCAAAAATAATAAGGCAGCTGATGTATTTATAGTAAATACAATTTTGTTGTTCTATTTTGTTAATTTTAGTTGGCCTATGACATTCAGTATCCTAGTTAATATTGTAATGTTCACATATGCTCTCAAGAACCAGACGTTTTGATCTCACCACGGTTTATTGTGTAGGTAGAGGAACACAGGCTGTTAACCCCTAAGACAGACCTCTGTCTTCCTGCACACACTCACTGACATTTCCTGCTGCACAACCGAACATGTCTCTTAAAGAAACAACAACAGTGCACACAGGTAGTCAACCTGTCACAGTAGAATAGCCTTTAACAATTATTACAATATTATATCACACTGAATATCAAGTGTAAATCAATCCCAGGCACACTTGCAGCTGAACTTACTACCAATTCAGATTAAAGTCATAGATGAGTTAAACTTTCCAGGCTGGCAATAAGATGATGCAAACAACACTGCTGCAACTGTGCAGCTCTTTGAGGTTTTGTATATTGCTTTTCTGTGTGGCCATTAGGGGGAGATGCTGACTTTGCTAAATATTATTTGAATTATGTTTCTGCGAGTGTGCAAATTGTTTTCTGATTTTTTTGTAATCTACAGTGCTAAAGCTCAATCTAACAACAACAAAAAGTTCTCACATCTAGTTTCACAAGCATATTTATAATGGAACATTAGAAAATGAAATAAGATAATAGTAGGTGTGTGAATGATCACTAAGCAGTATTACTGACAGTAATAGAAGGCCCCAAAAACCTAATTTTGATTAGGCCTGCCTTGAGGAATACTTCACAATGTCTCCTCTGAGCTGAACTACTTTTTTCTCCTCCCTGCAAGTCATCACTTACACTTGTTTTCTCTCTCTCATGACCCTCTTAGACTACGTCCTAGGCCCACCTAGGCTACATCACTCTTTGTCAGCTCATTTGATATAGTTATATCATTATAAATCAACCTACTGAGCTTTATGGCGATTTTGTGAGTCTGCCTTTTGGGTACAGCCATTTACAATTCTTAACAGTTGCATTTAAAACACACACACACACACACATCACATGAACACATCCCACACAGTGTCATATAAACCATTCAATCTGTGTCTCTGTGTAAGGAAACTTCGCAAACTTCCCCAACCGTCCCATCTTCATTCATTCACCTGACTATAAATGAACACACTAAGCATGAAAACAATCAGCTGAGTCTGCTTTCTATGTTAGGTAGCATTCTCACACACACATAATGTGACACACACACAAAAAAAGTATGTACAGTCCTATACACTTTACAGATATTCAGGTGCATGCAGGCAAAAGTAGCCCGGCTGTGCCTGTGCCTCTGACTTTCACTTAAACTCTGTTATCAGATTCTAAATATACTGTGCTGGTGCTTATCGTCTGTAGCCTCAAATGCTCAAGCTACATATTCCATTTAAAGATTTACACAATTTTAAGTGTTCTCATTTATATACAGTCTGTTAAGTGCATTAAGTTCATTCAACATCGATTTTGTAGAGTAGAAGCCACTTTATGATTTTCAGAAACAACGTTATTCTTTCCCAGATCGTCTGTTGCTGTGAACCGGGTGGTTTTGGTTCCTGTTTCCGATGATGTTCCCTCAAACAGCTTAGCCATAAAGGCAAAGCCATTATTCTTGATATAGGATTTCCCAGCAAAGGTGTAGAGGACCGGGTTAGC